GTTCTCCACGTCCAGTGTGGAGCTCAGTGAGGGGCCTGAGCTCATGACCCTGAGATCAAGAGTCAGGCACTTAACCAACTGAGCCACCTAGGCTACCCTCAAAATCCTTTCTAATCTGAGGATACTATCTATACTATACCATACTATACTATGCTATACTATACTATATCGTACTCTATTATCCCATATAGTGTCCCAAGCCAGCCAGAGCACCTTGGACTACCTTGAAAACGTAACTTTACTGTTTTCTCCCTGTACTGTCCCGCTCTACCTCTGATTAACAAATGGGAAAGTTTTATATACTCTGTTCTTTTCCCTTAACTCCTAGCTAGAGTCTTCTCTGTCAAGAAAAGTAAAAAAAAAAAAAGACAGTAATTAAAAAGCGAGAGAGAAATAAATGCCAACATTAAATTAATGCCCAGCATTTTCGCTGGATATATTACCCATGTTTTCAAGAAGGTCGGTTTCATTTTGGAAAGACTGTCTAGAAAAATGGAGAGCAATGCTAAGTAAACCAGTGAGTCATTTCTAATACTGCTTAATACGCTGCTGTAAGAAAACAGAAAATGAATCGAGTTCTGTTCCTTAAAGCTAAGCAACATGATAGCCCATATAATGGAAATATGGTTTCCTGAGCACATGATCATTTTAATATGGGTTATTTATTGAGCGTTCCTATCCCAAGAAGCTCAAGGTGTTTTATCAACATTGCTTTAGTAATTCTCACATTCCCCCTTCATGTTGATTGTTGGGTCCCATCTTCTGGAAGAAGGAAATCACACCCAGAGATGTTGAGCAGCTTGTGTAGAATCACTCAGCAAGTCAAGGTCAGTGCCAGGATTAGAACTCAGGTCTCCTCATACTAGACTTCCAATCAGCAGAGTGAAAATAGATAAGCTGGTATGTGGGTTACATAGGCAGCAAACCCATGTGGGTAGTTTTAGTGAGGAGGGATTAATTGCTTGCTTTTTTTTTTTTTTTTTTTTTTTTTTTTTTTTCTTCTTGGCTTCAGGGGTGGGAAGTGCATGGTAGGCCCAACTATGATCAAGGCAGCCCATTGCAGACACACTGAGGAAAACTGTCCATGGGTTCCCAGGGTGGGACAAGAGGAAATCATCTCCTTCTGCCTCTTCCAGGAGACATGGAGACTTTGTTCTTTTATCTCTTCAGCCCTAAAGAGTTTTTATTGACCGCTGACCACGGCCAGTAGTTGAAAGAAGACTCTGAATATGCTGCCATTTAGTTCTAAAGACTGGCAAAACCACATGGAGGGCATGGGGAGAGCAGAGGGGGCAGGAAGAGAGTCAGCGTCACTAATTTGTGTGATGTCACCACTAAGGAAATGGTGACTAGGATACACAGCCCTTCCAGAAACATGGAAGAACCCGCCACACATCTGACCCACTCTGTGACTTTGGCGGAAAGGCTGAGGCGGAACTGAGTTCCAAAGGTTGGAATCACTGGCTTCTAAAAGCCATGTTTCCAGAAGAGAGCCTGGTATTGCGCTAATGGCTTCCCTGGAGAGCCCTGGCGAATCCTCACAATTCATGTATCATAACACACAGGAATGCTAGTAGGAGTTATGGAAAGTGACTGTGGCCACGTGGCATTCTCCCCCCAAGCATCTTTAGCGTGTGTCACTACAAGACAGAAAAAGGGATTTCTTGTCCGCTGAGCAAGAATCAATATAAAAAGAAGTTCCATCCTTTGTCACTTACTGCCTCCTCCCTCCCCCTTCCCTCATGGCTACCATTAGAGGGAAGCCAACACGTATGTAGCCCTTACTGTGTGTTAACTCATCTAGCTCTCAAAACCACCCCCTGAGGTAGGTTTTATTGTTACCTTCATGCTACAAAAGAGGAAATGGAGGCCCAGAGAGGTTAAGTCACCTGTCCAGGGTCACTCGATTGTAAGTGGCAAAGCCGGGATTCAGTCCTGGGCAAGCTAGCTCCAGAGTCTGTGTCTCAATTCACTGCCTGTCCTGAGTCACCTGGCTCTGGTGTCCTTACGCATCTGGCTCCGGACCCTGGGAGAGCAGCAGCATTCTGACTATAATTCATTTCTTCTAGTACGCATAGAATTCAGTATCACTCATCAGGTTGTTTTTGTGGATAAGAGGGATTTTCTTTATTTTTAAAATTATTTTTTTAATGTTTTTATTTATTTTTGAGACAGAGAGAGACCAAGCATGAACAGGGGAGGGGCAGAGAGAGAGAGGGAGACACAGAATCCGAAGCAGGCTCCAGGCCCCGAGCTGTCAGCACAGAGCCCGACGCGGGGCTCGAACTCACAGACTGTGAGATCATGACCTGAGCTGAAGTCGGATGCTTAATCGACTGAGCCACCCAGGCGCCCCGATAAGAGGGATTTTCAACATGCAAGGGGAGTTTAGGGCCACTTTGCAGGTCCTGTGCTAACATTCAAAGGGCCTTACCATGCTGGGATTGCCATCATTTGGTGACCAGCCCCTTGAATCTTTCCCACCATCAGACAGCATCATGAGTGCTGGAGCTGGTGTGGTCAGTCTGAAGTACGGTACAAAAGTCAAGGAACTAGTTAAATTTTGGTGCCATCTGATTTTCAGCTCCGTCCGTGGGGCTTGGCCTGTCCTAGATGGTTGGGGCATAGACTGGATATAATCAGTTATCTGCCTCCAAAGTGGCTATCGTCCCCAGAAGCAACCGGCCCAACTCGCAGTCAACAGAGACAGATATAAATCAATACAAATGCCTATCAATGTGACAGAGTCAAAATAAATGGTGACGGGTATAAATAAATAATGTGTAAGCGCACTTTAAGGGGTTGAGATGGAGTAGGTTGGGATCCTGCTGGCATTGGGGAGCAGGCGTGAGATTAATTAGGGAGTTTATTGGAGCAAGTTGCAAAGATAAAGGAGGAAGAGGGAGACGCGGTACAGCTGTCATCTGAATGAAAGAGAAGTGGCATCTCTATGGCGCAGCTTGACGAACGAGCACCGGAGAAATTGAAGGCATCACCACTGATTTGAGCAAGGCACTTAACCTCCCCGGGTCTCAGTTCTTCCATCTGTCAATATAGAGGACTGGGTATTGAAATCAAGGGAACATTGCGAAACGTTTTGAGTTCTCCAGGAGGAAAGTATCACCATCGTATGTCTCTGGGTTAAGGAAAAGCTGTTATTCGGAAGAAATGCCCGTGGCATATAACACCTGATTTGCCCCCAAGCACCAGTAACTCAGATGTCTTTGGGGAAGGAAGTGTTCTGATGCATCCGCATAGAAAAAATAAATAAATAATAGCAGGTGTTCAGAGCCTGCAAGGAACGTACTTCTCTTTGGCATCACCTAAACAGCTTGGGCTCAGCCCCGACCAAGGCGGTAGACGCCCAGACCCAAATCTCAAATAACTGCCCCCTCCTTGCTCTTTTGGTTGGCGTCAGTCAATCGCAAGAAGAATCAGATGTTCCCTTGCCAGCATGACTGATACATTTCCAGTGGAGCTATGTTTATGTCTTGATCCTCGTTTGTGTGGTGTTCTGTGTTTTATAACTTGAGTCTCCAGGAGTTTTTCCCATGACTGTGTGTCATTCCTTATCACCCATAACCAAATATGGCAGCTTTAAATAGTGCTGTCATTTTTCTCGATTCACTCGTTGTGATATAATCAGGTATAGATTTCTGACACGGAGCATCTAATGGGGTTTCAGATTCAGAAAGCAACAATGAAAGATTTTTCCCCCCTGGGTATTTCTCAATTGAGAGACACAGAAGGAAGTAGTCATGAGCGACAGGGCACTAGAATTCATGTCTGTTTGCCCAGAGAAACCGCAGCCGTATGGAAGGACAGAGAGAAAGATGAGCTGGAGAGAGCAGGCCATATGTAGAGGGGGCAACCACCACTGAGCTCCAGCCAGTTGACAAGGTGGGCCCAGTGTTTCTAGAAAGCCCCATTTTGCTGGAAAAAAAAAAAAAAAAAAAAAAAAAAAAAAAAAAAAAAAAAACAAAGAAAAAGCCGGAAACCTGGATTTTTACATGACATCTCCCAATCATGTAATGTTAGCAACGGATACAGAGTAGGTAAACATTGCAGGGTAGACAGATTAGGGGAGGGCTGTCTGTAGTAAGCCACCAGTGTGTCACCTTTGATTTAAGGTACCTCCAACCAAGACCTGAGAAAGGTGTGCACTCGTCCAAGATGACACAGCTGCAGACAGCTCATTCCAGTTTGCTCTCCTCCAGAAAAATGTCTGGGAGTTTGGTGGCCAGGTGTCTGTTCCTGGCTCCATCCACTGTCGCCTCTGACTCTGGCCAGGCACATCCCTGGGCTGGGGACAGCCCACATTTCCCCACAGCATTATGCTAAGAGCCCTGAGCTGTGTGTCAGAAGGCATGCATTTGAGACTCCACTCTTCCACTCCTCAGCTGTGTAACCTTGGACACATCTCTTGACTGCCCTTGGCTTTTGGTTTCTTCGCTAGTAAAATGAACATAATAATCGGCCTCATGGCACCGTCCAGAGGTTTACAGGAGAAATCTCACTCGGTGTGAGATCAGCCCGCAAACAAAAACATCAAGGGGCCTGTCACGTTAGCATCCTCATGAGAAAGACGTGAGTGTCCGAGAGGGGTGCTGTTGTACTCCACCACAGACACCAGTGGCTCTAAGGTGCCCCTGAGCCCGCCATGCCATCCCCGGGGGCGGGGGCGGGGGGGACACAGGGCAGTAGGTAGGGGGCGCTGAGCGCTGTTCCACTTGCCCAGCACAAAGCCTTTCTCAACCTAGGAAGTGACATGCCTCCAGCTGTTCCTTTGTTTCATCTGCTGAGGTCAGGGCTGAATAGGTCTTGGAGCAGCCCCTCTGCACCTTGGGTCCCAGTGCCATTGAAACCGGTCACCCAGAACCCGACGCAATGCCATCTGGGGCCAGACCCGCACTCCCCATACCCTCCGCCCTGCCCTGCCCTGCCAAGGGCCATCCTGACTGAATGTGTATGGTGAATCTTGGTTTTGTCTCCATTTCCAGGGGCGCAAACCTGGCTATTTCTCCTTCCTGGACCCATTTTCTCCAGGCGTCTGGCTCTTCATGCTTCTAGCCTATCTGGCCGTCAGCTGCGTCCTCTTCCTGGTGGCTCGGTAACGCTCCTCTCCCCGTCCCTGTCCTCACACCGCCACCTCGCGTCCGCTGCGGAGAACTGCATGGGAGGGGTGGGGAGCAGGACACCTTGGCACCACACAGGAGGGGGTAGGAGAGGGACTGAGGACCCGACCTGTCCTCTGCCCTGCTGTCCACCTGGCACGACCCGTTCCCCCACCTACATGCACATGTTCCCTAATGTGCATGGTGAAGACAGGTGAGCTTGTCTGAATTTGCTTCTGCATCCCTCCTCTTCCCCTTCCTCTTCCCCCCCATCTCTGGGCCCCCTGCTTGTGTGGTGGGGGGGGGGCTTGGGGAGAGAGAGTGGTGGGGAGGAAGGAGACAGGATTGATCACTATGCATTTGGCTGTCCTGGCATCAGACCTCACCAGGATCTGCTGCAGAGTGCTAAGTGACAAGAAACAGAGCCTGTGAATCCAGAGTGAGGGGACCAGAGGCCTCGTGGCATGGGCGAAGGAGGAGGTTCCCTCTGGAGAGGGTCTGGCCCATCCCCTAGCCTGGATCTGCCAGTGAAAACACAGCTGCCTTGGTGAACGGGAGCCATGGAGGGTGGTACACGACAGGAGGACGGGTTGGAGAGAGGCATTTGCAAGTTGTGTTGAGTTGAGACAATTGGTCCAGATCAGGGGTTGGTGACAATTAATCCCTCCCCTCTTGCTAGAAATAGAAACTATCCCTGGGCCTACAGAAGAACCTGAGAGCATCCCGTGGCTAAGACCGCCCATGAATGTGCACAGAGAGGGTTGTTTCTCTCTGGGGCTGGGCCGTTGGATCAGCCTGGGCTTGAGGAGAGCCAGCTTACCTATCCGGAAACAGAACAAGCCCTTGTGGTTCACAGGTCACTCATTCAGAATCCCAGCTCCCTGCTCAGTGCTCAGCTGACCATAGTGGGGGACCAGAAAGGGCTGTTACCTAGGAGCAGAGAACCACAGAATGAGCTTCAAGGGAACTGGCAGTGACTCTGTTCCAGCTGCCTCCATAGCAGTCTCCTTTGCCTCAGGGCCACAGTGGCGGGGCCAGATGATTCTAGTGTATGTCCCAACTCTGCCTGGCAGGGTCTTCCCCAAGGGCATGTCTGCTCAGTGGCTCAGGGAGAGCATGTGCTCTCTCCAGTTGGAACACGGAGCCCCAAGGGACAGTGGAGTGCTTAACCCCCAGGGCAGCCCCCAGCCTGCCCAGGGAGTATTCTATCACCCAGCCTGTGCCTCTTCCAGTGGAGATCAAAGCCAAGTTGAGGAAAGTCATCCTGAACCCGTGAGATCCAGCCAGACAGAGGAAGGCCTTGCTTACAAGCCAGTAGTCTTCAAAGGCTGCTGTGTACCACTCATCTACCCTCTTGGGCCTGTAGGCATTGCCACTATCAAGGATCTGTTGTCAGTGACAACGGACGAGATACGCAGGAGGTTAGCACGCTGCGTGACACTTTCCCTCTCCACTCCACCGCACTGTGTGCTGCAGCTTTTAGGAAGCTGTCTGCCTGAGCCCTGGCTCCACCTCTCTGAAATACACTCTTGCCCCCTTCAATTGAGCCCCTGCAGGTAGCCAGCCACAGCTCTCGAGGGACCCCGAAGGCCCTGGAAATAGTCTTAGGGCTTGGTTCCTAGATATACAGACATATAAGCCCGTTTCCCCATGCCCACTGCAGACTAAAGCTTTTCAACTAGCCCCAGGGGCTTCAACAACCCTTCTTCCCTGCCCTAGACGCGCACGCACGCACACACGCGTGCACACACACACACACACACACACACACACACACACACAAACTCTCACTCACTACCCCCAGGATCCAGCATTAACAAAAAGATTAACCAAAAAAATGTACTAAAGGTCTGATTATACCACCGTGTGTGTGTGTGTGTGTGTGTGTGTGTGTGTGTGTGTGTGTGTTCATAGGATAATTTACCGACCTGAGGTAGGTACTGGTTTTCAAATAGGGTTCCATAGGGCAGGAAGGCTCTTGGGAGGCACCAGAGACTCTGGAGGTGAGAAGAAGCCGGAGCTCTGGAACCTCAACTCCTCTTCATCCAAACCAGTTCTGCTTTTATCTCTTGAGCTACTGTACTGCTGGGTAAGATTTTAGAGGTGAAAAGAAATGTTTGGAAACCACTGATCTAAGGCAGCCGTTCCCAAGCAGGCTGATATCCGAGTCAGACAGGGAGCTTTTAAAAAGTTTGGTTCCCAGGTCCGATCATCTCAGCACCTCTAGGGACGGGGCTGGGGAATCTTTATTTTTGAAGCTCACTTCCAGTGGCCTGTAGGCTTGGGAACCACCGGGCGCAAGCCAGCTCCGTAGGCCACAGAGAGAAGGAGCACATGTCAGGACGCGGGCCAACGATGACACGCTGGCATCATATTCAGGAACAAGAGGCGGCAGTGGAAATGTGGGCGAGCCACTGTAGAGTGAGTGCCGACAAGGCTGGGGGAGGGACAGGAAGACCAGTGATGCGAATAGTACCCTGTGAGCACACACTGCCTGCCCTGCTCGGCACACGCCCAGACACATCTCTCTCGTCAGAGCTGGGATGCTTTGCGTGGGCGACCGGCCAGGGCCACTGAGCAGAGGAGGGAAGGCGTGCGTCTGGTGGGCAGGAAGACGGGGTGTTCTGGGCATCAGGGAGGGAAGGTGGGGGCAGGGAGCTTAGAGCAGCCCTTCTCAACCCCGTGTGCCCATCACACTGACCTGGGGGGCTTTAAAAAATACTGATGCTCAGGCTCCACCTGGACAAAGCAAATCAGAACCTCTGGGAGCAGAATCTCGTCTTTGACATTTCTTTCAACGCCCCCAGGTGAGTCTGAAACAGAAACAGTGTGGAGACCCTCGGCCCAAGGGACGGTCTAGGCCAGTGTTTCTCAGCGTGGTCCCTGGACCAGTGGCATCTACATCACGGAAGAACTTGCATATTCTTAGGCCTCACCCAGACTTACTGAATCAGGAGCATCAGGGGCCCAGCCCAGCAGTCTGTGTTTGTTTGTTTTTGTTTTTAAATTTTTTTTTAATGTTTGTTTATTTCTGAGACAGAGACAGAGCATGAGTGGGGGAGGGGCAAAGAGAGAGGGGGACGCAGAATCCAAAGCAGTCTCCAGGCTCTGAGCTGCCAGCACAGAGCCCGACGCGGGGCTCAAACTCACAGACC